TCATTAAGAATCTGAAGGCCCTTACTCATCACTGCACCTGGCACTATATGCTTGTGTCAGCTTCCCTGCATTGTCATGTTGACTAAATCACTGGCATTTCCTGGTTTATGAGCTATTTCTTAACTTTCTTCCTTCTTATGTATGTCATTTTGTTCATTTGAATAATGCTGGAAGCTACACTCCTCACCCTGTTTTTCATATCTGTCTCCAAAGTGCCTCTTTACATGAGAATACAGGAGTTATAGGTAGGCTGCCCTATTTGGCTTAGGGCGCACTCACACTAGCAAAGTTGTCCCGTACTGTGCTTAAGCACGGTTGCCCCCCCTCCCCATTACCCCGCTGGCCTGCTCTCACACTGCTCCAGGACTAACCGGGCCCGAGCACGGCTACCTCTTGCACATAAGGTCGTAATACAACACGTGCATGGCTTTACTTAATAATGAAGCATGCTCAGTTTACAAGACAGGCTTACTCGAGGAAATAAATAAAGACACATGGTCGATTCTGCGTCCATACATCGGGGAACTTTAGCGGTGAAGCGTGCTTGGGCACGGCACAGATTGCCTAGTGTGAGTGCGCCCTTAGAATCTGCTACAGGAGGATTTGGATGTGGGGGACCTTGTTCCTTCAGACCTTTGAAAAAGGAGTTTGAAGGCGTTGGAGGAAGTTGCATCAGGTTATAGACACTTTGAAATGGCTAAATTCAATAGCTAATCAACTTGAATCACATTTTTATGTTTGAAATGTCTTTATTGAGCATTTCAAAACTGTATTTGTCGTACTTTCATTTTTATAAATATACTTTTATGTTGTACTGTTTAAGCTCTTGTGCTTTACTTCCTGTTTGAAAGAGAAATCCTGCCTTTATTTTAGAAAACCGTAACAAAAGGAAGTGTTTGATGTGACACAGTGGACATTAAATGTAAATCGTTAACTGTAGTGACTTATCTATGGTACACTGAAAGGGACATAGAACTTCACACAATTAATGCTATTAAACTAATATAAGCGTTCATTTGGGATCTTAATGTCATCGTGTTTAATGTGGAAAGTGCTCAACAACAATGTAACAATGATGTTATATAAGGGGTGAAATAACAGAACTAGCAATTGACCTGGTTTCATTTCCGTCATGCGTCACCCACCCTCAACTGTCAACAGGTGACCACAACGCTGTGACTTCTGGTCACTGTGGAAATCTTTCACAGAGAAGAACACGCTCTCTGTTTTACTGTGGTCAGGTCTGGTTTCATGTTTCCAAGCAAGATTGCAACTCTTGAGAAACCATCACCTGCCATCTTCCTCTCAGTGTTTATTAATAAACATAAATAAATAATTGAGTAAGTCAAATCACAATAAGGTATTCTATCTTCCAAAAGAATCATCATATCTAGACTGTTTGACAGAAGACATTTGATCAAACTCTGATTGTTAAAAGTATAAAGAACATCTTTTTCAGGGCCTTAATATCATATTATCTGTTTTCTCCTGCAGGTTGAGAACTTGAAGGCTGTCCATCCAGACTATGGAAACCGGGTTCAGAATCTTCTCAACAAGTTCAATGATGAGGCCCAGCAGGTAAATAGTAACTGTCTGATTGATTCTTGGCGAGTAGTTTTGATATGTTTATAAAACTTGAAGCAAACATTCAGGCAGGAATCTGAATGACTGAGGGGATTCCTGGGCGCTGTTTCTTTAGTGTCATCATGACTTTGACATTTTGGACTTCCCAGAGGAAGACTAAAACTTTTGGAAGTGTCCTGACTATTGTTTTCAGCTATTCTAGCAGGTCCACATTTAAATTTCATGGTTTCCTCAACAGCTGTTCTGTGGGGAGCAAATGTTTGCATATGAATGGATTTTTTTACTTAATTTATCAGAGCAGTTGATGAATTATTTACTGTCTGCATACAAAAAAAAAATTGCATAGAAAGTTTCTGACATGAATGATCTACCCTAGCTTAAAATATCAAGGCAACTATCGTAGGGCTGCTTGATTATGGCAAAATCATAATCACGATAAATAAATAAATAAAAAAATATATATATAAATTTGTGATTCTGATTCAGTGTTAAGGCCAGCAGAGAAGGCCTTACTCACTGACTGCCAACCTCTGACAAGGGCTGACATGGGGCGGCTCAGATGTAGAGTCGGCCGTCTCTCAACTGGAAGGTTGAGGGTTCGATCCCCAGCTCCTGCAGCAACATGTCTGATGTGTCCTTGGGCAGGAATGAATTGCTCCCGCTGCTTCGTGTGGTGTATGAATGTGTGTGAATGGGATTAGGTAGTTCTGATGACACTTGACATAGCAGCCTCTGACATCAGTGTGTGAATGTGTGGGTGTGACATGCAGTGTAAAAGCACTTTGTAGTCAGAAGACTAGAAAAAAGCGCTATACAAGTGAATTTACCATTTTCAGTCTTCAGTATTTGAGCTCATATTGTATACAGATGTTTATAGATCAAGGATAACATTCAGCCTGCTCACGAGGACAAGGATGTTAAACAGAAATGAAAGTTATTCCATGACAGACATTGGGCACATTAATTGTCGGAACATTTGGATATACTGTATATATTTTTTGTGTGTCTGGTGGCAACATTTCGTAATGCAGATTTATTAATGTTGAGTCGTAAACAGCTGTCTGCAGTAACGTTTTCTAAGATGTGCATCTGGTATACAGTGTAAAAAAGTTAATACCAACTCTCTCTCTCGCTCTCTCTCTTTCACTTCCACTCTCTTAGAACACACCCGTGCATGTCTACAGCCGTCCAGGAGTCTCGGCCGTCGCCGCATCCTCCAAGATGTGATGCCTTAAATTTCCAGAAGGGGCAGCACCCTCATGTATCGCAGAGCAAATGCACTTCTTGATTAACAACTGCTACTAAGAGTAACGAGATTGGACTAAACAATTAGTATAATGACGAGACTGAAACACCGACTTGTAATGTGAGGGTTGTGTTTTTTTTTTTTTTCATTCAGTCCATCCAAACAGTTGATTTTCCTCAAAATCCTCAAAGCTTTCAATATTCAGCAGATTCTTTATCTCTGTCATTTGTCTTGATTGAACACTAATTTCAAAAACAGATGAAGTTGTTATTTTTTACAGACTGAAACAAAGACCACTATGGTAACTAATGTTAACTAGATCGAGTACAGCATGACGAAATGGAGGGCTTGCCTTTGACCAAATATGGCCTCAATGCTAATGTTTGTTTTTAAATATAGGTGTGATTGGAGTTTCAAGTTCAACCTCAGCTTCTTCCATGTACCAGGATGAGTGATTATTTCTTAGGTTATGTTTGTATGTTGGATTGATTCATCTCTCTCCAAAAAAAAATCCAAATCAGCTATTCTGTTAGTCTTCTTTTAACATTCACATGTGATTCAATGTGTGACATATTCAGCATTAATCTCCGATCAGGTTGTAAAATACATTGATTTTTTTATGTAGTGTTGGCACATGCCAACTGCAAGAAGCAGTATTTTTATTTTTCACTGCAGGCAATCATAAGCGTTGGCTTGTTTTCCTCACGATTGACTGAACCTCAAAAATCATTGCATTCTTCATGAGAAGAACTTTCAAACTGAAATGATTTTTCAGTTTGATCTGGGGGTGTTTGTGGGCGGATGCATATCCTGTCAGTAATGCAGTTCACAAAAAGGACACAATTACTTTCACTTCATCAAAAAGTCAATAGTGCCTTTTTGTACTAAATACAAATATAAATAAATTAACCTGAAACTCAAAAATCATTGATTAACTTCTCTTTAGTGGAAAAGAGAAACTTTGTTGATTTATATCGTGGTCTATCAGTTAACGTAGGGTTAATGTGGCTAAGTAGCATTAAAAAAACAGAGACTACATCCTCATCCGAATCAAAAAACACGACCACTAATTCCCTCCTATTCTGGTTTTCTTTCAGACTGACTAGAAATGTAGTTTAGGGCTTTCATGTTTGTCCATTCTATGCAGAGAAAAAGACCCTTGACTAAATGCACAGTTTATTGTGTCACTGTGTAATATACACTGTATGACCTGTTGTGTGTTTGCTAACTCTTCAAAGTGTAAAAAATATATTTTATATGAATGTTTAAGATCAGATTTGTATTTAGTGCCTGTATTAAATCGAAGCTTAACAGCAGCTTTCATGTCTCGTTCTTTTGTTTGAAGACATCTTTGTTTTCTTCAACGCTGTATGAGAAGAGGAAACTAAAATGCCAGTTATCTCATCTAGCTCATCTATAATAAGTTGCCATTTCAGTTTTTAAAGTTGCTTAGAGTTCTCTCAATGCCAACCAAAACACAGATTAATAAACCATAAGACCTTATTTAGTTCTGATATTTAAGGGATTACGGAGTTGACGTGTTATGGTTGAGACACCTGATAGCATCATTTAATGAATTTCTAAAAAAAATAGAAAGCTTAACGATACTTAAATGTCATCCCCCCTTTTCCCTTCAGGAATGAAGACAGGGGTCCTTTGGTTATAGCTCACCTCTTTTTATGCCTGATTATTTTGTGTTTTTGTAAAAGGCTGACGGAGTTTACAAAAAACTGGGACACTTTTTAACAACTCAAAATGTTCACAAAAAAAAAAAACATTTTAAAATGTAGATGACTATAATAATCTTTTTTTTTTACACCCGTTGTATCAGTAGGTTTTGTAGTTTTAAGATTTTGTATGATTTTGACACATTTTTAAATAGTTTAAAGTTTTAAATGTGTGTCTTGGACAAGGGTGCTTTCTGTCAAAGGGCAGGTTTAGACTTAAAAAGAAAATAAATCAGAACCAAAATTAGGTATTTCAAATTGGTTTCATATATAAAAATCTTAAAAAGATTTTCATAAGTGTATTTGTAAGTGATATTTTTAATCTTGTTTGCCTGGGACATGATTTTTCCCAATTCTCAAGAATGGGTGTTATTCAAATTTAAGAAGAAGCTAATCTTGTGGTCAGGTTGGTTTTGCCTCATTGGCTGGTATCAGGTGAAAAGCAGCCTGTGCTGTGCTTACCCTCAAAGGAGCACACCAACACTCACAGCGACACGATCATAGTGTGTGTACACCCTCCTGCAGCCTGCACTCCAAACCTACAGATAAGACGACTGAGATGAATCCTGAAGGTGTTCCACTGCAGGGAAGAGGATATGAAGGATATCCAGGATATCCAGGATATCCAGGACAGCCTGGATATCCAGGACAGCCTGGATATCCAGGACAGCCTGGATATCCAGGACAGCCTACAGTGCTTCAGTCCACCACTGTGAACATCGTCACTGAGCCCCCCAAAGACTACATCATCTGGTCCCTCTTCTCCTTCGTCTACTCAAACCCTTTCTGCCTCGGACTGGTGGCTCTCATCTACTCCATCAAGGTCAGTTTAAAAACATCAGTTAAGACTCACTGATGAACAAAATAACTCGGTCTTCGACATTGAAAAAGCGTAAAATGTTCATGAACAATACCAGGAGAAGAATTTTCCTGTGGTTTTTGCAGAAAACTTGAGTGAAGTTCTTAAATTTCAAAAACATGTAAAAGTATTGTTAAAAGCTTCGCTTTATTTGAAGGGTCTTTTTGGAGATTTTTTCAATTTGAAATTCCAAACTATCAGTGAGTAAGAAAAAAAAGACTCATCATTGAAAGGATGACAGGTTTGAGATGAAGACCATTTTCGCTTCATTATACAATCATTCAATCATGTGTAAATATTTACATTATCTTGACAAAGATGTAAAAAATAAACGTGTTCAACTTTGTTTTTTTCTTGAAGATAAACAATTTACTGAACATAATGAGAGGTGCTTCTGTCGTTTCAGTCCAGAGATCGGAAGATGGTTGGTGATCTGGAGGGGGCTCGACATTATGGAGGAACCGCCCGCACCTTCAACATTATATCTTCTGTTTTGTTTGGCATAGGGGTCCTAATCTCCATTATTATGTTCTTTGTGATCATTGTGAGACTTCAGGAAATTTCATATAATCATTATGATTATGGTTATTATAGAAACGGATAGAAAATGAACTGTAAAATCATTTTGGTTAACTGAAACTAAAATAAAAACAAGGCTTTGCAAAATAAAAACTATAACTTGCCTACCTTTTAACCACTTATGAACCAATACGCAGTCTGCGATCCTCTGGCAGAGCCCTACCGGCTGTTCCAGGCTACAAACTAAAGGGGACAGGGCCTTTGCTGTCAGAGCCCCCAGACTTTGGGACAGCCTGCCAGAGGAGATCAGACTTGCAGAGTCAGTCCCTTGTTTTACATCTCTACTCAAGACATTCTTTTATAAAAATGCTTTTACTCTGTGATATCGTTAATTGTTTTTATTTTTCATTTTATTAGTCTGATTTTGTTGTCTGCTTGTTTACGCTCTGCCTGTTGCTTTAATTGTCTCTGCTTTTATTTTCTGTTGCAAAGCACTTTGCTACTTGTATAGAAAAGTGCTATACAAATAAAGTATTATTATTATTATTACCTGAATCTGTATCATGTGTTTACAAAACTAAATAAAAATTACATTATAGACAAAGTGTCCTTTGTCTTTGTGTTTGACACGAGCATACTGACTGATATGCCGTTTATGTTTTGTCTCAGGCGTGTCTGGATGAGCATGTTCATGCAGAAGTTAAAACGGTTTTCCATATTTTTTTTAAGATATATATTATATTCTTTAGACTCTAAAGGATATGTCAAAGTCAAAGTCCTATTGGGTCGGGGGCCGGATTTGTCCAAATGAGACCTCAAGTGGGCCGGACTCATTTTGCCGACATCACTATAACTCAACACATGGATATATAGGCTAATGTATGATTGTATAGAAAACTTTAACATTAACATTAAGCAGAGGGGTTAACTCTGTCATTGCAAACTGCATGTTGGCACATGGAAATATTTAAATGTACCACATTACAGAAGAAAACATCAATAATTATGTTTTGATTGAGATTATTATATTATGTTTAAATATTGCTGTTCAAGGTTATAGACACTTTGACACCTTATTCTACCTGCCCTGGGCTCAGTGCATTAGAGAGAGAGAGAGAGAGAGAGAGAGAGAGAGAGAGAGAGAGAGAGAGAGAGAGAGACTTTAGATCAGTGTGTGTCAGGCCACAGCACAGTTTGCACTCGTTAAGGTTCATTACAGATAAAACCTGCTCACGTGAATAAGTTGTCACAAACAAACAGAGTGTCTTTGATGCATCTTCGGGTCTTTAAGTATGAGGCATTATAAAATGATAACATGTTTCCAAACGAACTGACTTGAATTGATCCTTCAGCTTTGCGCACTGCAGTCTGATCAGCTCCGTGTGGAGTGCACGTTCTTCAACTAAGTAGACTCAGTTAAACGACTTTTCATGAGTCTGGCAGTCCGTTCTTCTACGTGTCCGCAATATCGTGATCTAACTCTGTCACTGACTTTTTATGCTCCATGAATCTCTGCCATCTCCGTGCGCAATTCAAGGAAGAATTTTAGCGCTGCTCCATGATTAAACCAGCGGACCTCTGTATGATCGGGCAGCCTGTGCGTGATATCGTCTTTGTATAAGAATGAAATGTTCAGTAATAGTTACATATTTACGGTCTGATGAAAGCTGGTGATAAAGGCGCAACAGCAGGCTACTGCATTTAGAAGTGATTTCGCACTGAAACTTTTAGGTGATCAACACAACACGTTCACCTCTGGGTGCAGGGGCGGACTGGCCATCTGTGTGTTCTGGAGAATCACAGAACGGCCGGTACTCCAGGATGGCCGGCGGCCGCCACGCAGTCATCACCAGTTTTTTTTTTTTCCTGCTAATTTACTGTTTCACACTCCAGTCCGGTAGGTGGAAACAATGCGTCTTAAAGTTGGATGCCAGCCGGCAGCTGCCTGTGCCCACCAGCTATAATCTAAAAGAAGAAGTAGTAGTAGCAGCTAGTGATGTGAAAAGCAGTTCTTTTCAGTGTACTGAATCATTAGAATCAGTTCAGTAAAGTGATTCGTTCAAAAGATTCGTTCACCGAATCGTTCAGTACTTCTCTGCAGCTCTGTCTGAGAATCAGAATTTAATAAGCTGAAATACGACCGAACGTTTAGTTCTGCTCGCGATCGTACTGAGAACAGCAGGTGGTGAATAATAAACTAATGAGCTGAGAATTTAGTTGGATAAAGTTACAGTTTGCAAACTGAAAGCTGCTAAAACAATCACATTTATTTTCCCCGACCATTCTGTTCAGTACGTTCAGTACACAAATCACTCACTGACTGACTGACTGAGAGGAAGAGAGTGACTCGGAGGCGGTGCTCTCGTTCAGTTCGTTCAGTGAACGTGAACGAGCAAGACTGCGAGTCACCAGCCTCAGTCACACACACACACACACACACACACACACAATGTACTGACTGAAACACGATTGTTAGTGGATGTTAAAAAAGTCTCCCGACCGACTCCATCCTGTTGGTTCAGTCAGTCTGTATCACGGACATGAAAGGGAGAGGGAGGGCGGGCTTTGAGCGACTCTCTTACGGTCTAGAGAGAGATACGACACGGGAGAGAGGAGAGCACAACTGAAGTTGAGAAATGAACGACTCTTTTCAGTAAGTGATTCAGTTCAGTTCGTTCACCTAGAAGATTCGTTCTTTTTGAACGAATCGTTCATGACCGACACATCACTAGTAGCAGCGAAGACGATCTTTGGTAGTAGTAGTGAAGCACAAAAATATGGATAACGTTTGTCAAAAAAACACAAAGAAAAGGGTGGGGCTGAGAAGGCGAGGGAAAAAAAATGCGACATTTAGAAAGTGAAGCCGCTAAATGTCGCAAGCTCACTGAAATGTTCAGCAGCACAGCCGGCAGCAGCACTGAGGCACAAGTTGACGTTAGCAGCAGCATCCAAGAAGTTAGCAGCATGAGTGAAGAAGAGAGAGTTGAGGCGAGCCGGACAGTTGTGCAGCCTCAGCATGGTAGGGTCACATGTGATGATGAGGGACAGAGAGATGAGCTGGTGGAAGTTCAGGGCTGGAACTTGACATGAGAGAGGGAGAAAGAGAGTTACTTGCTGGTTGATGTTAGCAAATGTTATTCAGGTGTTGCTACATTTTTATCTATACCCAGTTTGTGTTGCTCAGTACAATGCAAAAAATTAAATGAAATAAAATAAAGTGAAATAATGATTATAGTAGTTAAAACAGCTCCACTTTAAACATTTTAGGTGTAAAATGCCACATGCAGTAATATTAAGAAACAAGCTACATACTGTATATATAAAAAAAACTGTTGTGCTTTTACTTTTTAAGTTTTGGTAACGTTACAGTTTTCTGATAATACTTACAAACTTTGAAGACTTTGAATACAGAAGTTACATTTGTAGTGATGTATTTTCATTATTATTTGTGCAGTAAGTTAATTACTGCATAATTTAATTAAGATTATTGAGTAATAAAGTAATCATAAGATTGCGTGGAATAGATGATGTTATAATCAACACCAGTGCTATTGCTGTAATTTGGATGGTATAGTGTAATGAGTCATGATTCAAGTATTGTGACACCTGCCCATTGTAAACTTATATTATCTCTGTCCTGGTTACATCAGACACTTCAGTATGCCTATCACAAATAAAAAAAGAAGACAAAAAAACAGTAGAATCCATATAACGTATAATAGTTTGTTATATGGATTCGACTGTTTTTCTAAAAAGTCACAAAAAAACAGTTTTAAAAGATGTCTAAAAAAATTGAAAAAAAGTCACAAAGAAAGTCACAAAAAACTCGCAGAAAAGTGAAGTTGTGAGTTTAACCCCTTCGATCTTACCAAGGTACCACATCTTTCTGAGCATGGCTCAGGGTGGCGCTGCCCTGCGGCGACACGGACACCAGTGAGCTGTTGTAGAAGTTTGTATTTTGTATGTGATCATTTTGGACTACCGTTCTGTGAGAATGGATGAATGAAGACCAAAAGGAGAATGAACATGCCGTGCTTTTGGACTCTTTTAGTGGCAATCACGATCCTCGTTGAACTTTTTAACAGCTGCCGAGCAACCGGAGTAAATCCGGTGATACAATACACACGAGAGCTGCTACTGTCTCTTCGCAATGATGCAAATCCACAGAGATTGATGACAGAAGACCTGCCTCAGGAGATACGATCATCACACCGACAGAGAGCGAGAAAAAGAGGCCGGAGAGGAGGCGTCCGACAGCGGCTGAGAAGGAGAGGAAGCCGGCCGCCACTACCATCTATGATCCTGTGCAATGCCAGATCGCTGAGAAACAAATTGGACGAACTCCGACTACTGTCAAAAGCCTGCTTTGAATACCGTGAGTCCTGCATAATGACTATTACTGAAACGTGGCTAACATCAGATGTACCAGAGCCTTTGGTCGAAATTGAAGGTTTCAGCCATATCCGCGCTGACAGAACTGAGGACTCCAGGAAGAGCAAAGGAGGCGGGCTCTGAGTCAATGACAAGTGGTGCAGGCAGTACACAGTTCAGGGAACTGTCTGCAACAAGGACGTTGAACTACTGTGTGTTAGCCTAAGACCTTTCTACTTGCCCCGGGAGTTTGGAAATATTCTGATATGTTCAGTTTATGTTCCCCTGACGGTAACGCATCCAGGGCAGCTTCTGAAGTGGCGGACTGTGTACAAGAGCAGCTTCAACGCACATCAAACGCCCCCATCTTTATTATGGGAGATTTTAAACACTGTAATCTGAACACTGCACTTTTATATATATTGAACAATATATAAAATGCGACACCAGGAAGAGAAAAACATTGGACAAATGTTATGGAAATATCAAGGGTGCATATTCAGCTTCCGCAACACCCCCTTTGGCAAATTCTGACCACAACACTATCCATCTGATCCCCACTTACAAAACAGCTCTTAAGAGCAGCAAGCCTCTTGTTAAATCTGTCAATGTATGGACTAAAGAGAGTATTGACACATTGAAAGGCTGCTTCTTATGCACAGAATGGGACACTTTTTCTGAGGAGAATGATGTAGACCAGGGGTGCCCAAACAGTCGATCGCGATCGACAGGTAGATCGCTGACTGATTCTCAGTCGATCGCGAGATGTTTAGTCAATATAAAATACAATTGTAAAATAGAAAAGTGATTTCAATTTCATCTCATTGCACTGTTTCCCACACACGATACCTGTGTGGGGAGCCCAAGTATACTTCCGACCTGTTTGTATTTAATTTTTCATTTATTCATGAAATTGCTGCGTGCACGAGAGAGCGAGCGGGGGAGCGAGAGAGAGAGAGAGCGCGCGCAAGAGAGAGAGTGCAGGCATGCGCAAGGACGTGCAGGTAAAACCGGGGGGGTAAATGTTTTACCAAAAAGTCATATATAGAAACTATGCAACGAGTATTAAGCGCATTTGATGAAGCTGCAGCTACTTTTCTCTGTTCCTCTCTGCTGTCATGACTGTGAGCATCGCGGGGCACGAGACACACCAACATTCAGCGCAAAACGTAATATTAAAATGTAGCCTACCCTAAAATAAGAGTTTAAAAAAATTGCATTATTTTTTACAGAACTCTCATTTATTATTTTCTGTTTGTTGTGTGAGTATTAAATGCGTTTGTAGGCTGTTGGTAAAGGCTATGGCTCACTATGTGGACTGGTAGATCTCGGCAGACTGGTAACTTTAAAAGTAGATCTTGGTTCAAAAAAGGTTGGGTACCCCTGCATTAGTGCATAACTCAACATTGTTCAGTTAAGTATAACACGTAAAGCTCACTTTTTCAGTTCATTCCCCGTCCACGAATCCCTCGAATTCTTCTTCTTCAGTGTCCGAATTGAACAGTTGGGCGAGTACTGCATCCAACATGCCCGGCTCCCTCTCGTCATTATCCGAGTCAGTGTCGCTGAGCGCCGTGTACAACCAGTATGGATCAACCAATTAACCAATTGATCCATATATAAGGCGCTCCGGATTATAAGGCGCACTGTTGTTTTTTGAGAAAATTAAAGGCTTTTAAGTGCGCCTTATAGTGCGGAAAATACGGTACATGAATTTGAGCTGAAAAGTCTATGAATACAAAAACTTCTCTGTGCGTGTTGTACCCATCCTACAGTCGGATGGTAGTGGTACCATCTTTTCTTCTTCTAATGGAGCTACTGTATCTCATTCAGGTTTGGTCTCACAAAGAGTACCCTCTGATCCCTGTGGGCAAACTGGTGCTCAATAGGAACCCAATGAACTACTTTGCTGAGGTGGAGCAACTCGCCTTCGATCCCAGCAACATGCCACCAGGCATCGAGCCAGCCCAGACAAGATGCTGCAGTAAACACAACTTTCTTTCTTTTCATTTGTTATTCTTGACACATTTCCAGTAATACTGAATCTAAAAAAAGTTATTTCAGCTAAACTGTTCCTGTAACTTCAAATAATAACTGTCTCTATGGTGTCCTGTTTAAGTGCATGTTCAGGCATCTTAATGAGGGCATTTGGTGACCCCCAAGACTTTATTGTCTCCCAGCAGGTCTTAGTCTGGACCCTAATCTTTTGAATAAATGACCAACGAGAAATCTTGTTTTGTTTTTTTAAAGACAGACCCTTCAGTTAAGCGATGCCCTGTTGATGTTCATCTCCTTTATCTTTGTCTAGGGCCGTCTCTTCTCCTACCCAGACACGCATCGACACCGGCTGGAGCTAACTACCTGCAGCTCCCTGTCAACTGTCCATTCAGGAGCCGTGTGACCAACTACCAGCGCGATGGTCCGATGTGCATGTTTGACAACCAAGGTGAGTCATAGTCCAACCTGTGTGTGACGCAATAACAGAGACAGACTCAAAGGCTTTACGTTGAAGCTTTGTATGTAGCACAAAAATAAATCTTGTATAATCTACCTAATCTATCTTTTAGTCTGTATATATCAAAGGAGCATTGTAGTATTTGCAGCGATTGGGTTACTCACAGTGTGTCCAGGAAAGATGAGCCACCTTGTGTGAGACAAAGCACACCACAACAAACATCAAACCTGAGTGATGAAGTTAGAGTGAATTCAGTCTATAAAACACATCAGTTTAATACATTTGATCTCCCACTCACATCCAGACATACAAATATTTAGTTTTCTGAAAAGACTTGGTAAATACAACAGGGCAAGACCAAGAGTTGCCCAACAGATGTCGCCATTGAGACTGTATGAAATGCAATAGGACTCATACTAATAGGAGGGTGTTTAAGAAGAATTGTAAGTTGCTCATCTAATTCAAACTGAGTTTAAAACTAACCACAGTCATCCATGCACACAGTTAATAAAGTTCTTTATTCTGTTCAGATTTTAACATAGCAGTTTGTTCTGTCCGGCTTCTAGGTGGAGCCCCAAACTACTATCCCAACAGCTTCAGTGCTCCTGACACCCAGCCTCAGTTTGTGGAGTCCAAGTTCAAGGTGTCTCCAGATGTGAGCCGTTACAACAGTGCAGATGAGGACAATGTCGCACAGGTGAAGAAAACATCCCGATATAACAAGCACCAGCCGGTTTACACAAACCGATTTCACCACCAGGATGGTTCTTCTTCTCTCCTAATTTCCTGTGCGCTTCCTGCCCTGTACCAAACAGACACAGCTAACAGCTTCAGAGCCCAACATAATAAATCAGTGTTATGTCTAACAGGTTCCTCCTCTTTCACAAGTCACCATGGACATAAGTCAATATGGTTTTCAAATAAAGACTGAAATGAAAATCAATAATAATGAATCATTGTAGAGCAAAACAAGTGAACTAATCTACACATGAACTGTATGTGTGTTACTACTCTAAGGTAACCAGGATCGTGACAAGGCTAGAGATGATTGGCTTTATTTTGAAGCTATCCTGTCTGTATGAAGTGGACTGAAATGGATATCATTTTGATTCAATCTACTCTTACCAGGTATTTAATGTGTGTTTTCAAATTTGAATTGCAGGTTCGGACCTTCTACACCGAGGTGTTGAATGAGGAGGAGCGGGAGAGGCTTTGCAGTAACATGGCTGGTGCCCTGAAAAGAGCCCAGCTCTTCATCCAAAAGCGCATGGTGAGTCCTCACTGCATTATTATCCACACAGTCTCTGTCACCTGGACATGCTTGATGCTGTCATGCTTCTACTAAGAGTTGTCCAAACATAATACTTCCACTGTTTAAATGAAATGACATGTTCTTTAACATGTTTATTGCCCCGTAGCAGGAAACATTTAAAAAATAAAATACTGATGGCTTTATGAACGAGCGTGCTAAAACCACAGGATGTGGCTCTCTGGAAACCTAACACTGTGCTCATGAAGCTTGGTGTCTGTATGGGTTTAGGCAGAGGCGATTAAATTGAAATCTCCCAATTCATGCACCAGGCAGTTCTAAAGTGTTCTTCAAACAATCAAAGAAAATGTGATCATGTATACAGTGTAAAATGAAACAGAACAGAAATGTTACTTAAATCTCGCTCAAAGGGAACAGTTACTGAAGAAGACTTAAGAGGTCCGGTTAGTAGTTTTTTTTGGGATTAAGCATTTATTGTTTAAAAAAAGGAGTACGATTTGGACGAGTTTATAATGGTAACTTTAGTTGTTTTCCTATTACCTTGGACGACATAGGTCGTCATGGTTATTAAACTGGTGAATGCACTGGCTTGTTTTTTAACAAGTTGTCAGGGAACAGTGATTTGTACTGATCCTGACTTCTACTATGATTGCAGAATGATATGAATGAGTCTGTTTTCACTTATAAATTCCAGGGCTTCTTAATGGTTGATTTGCTAACTTTTACATAAAGACTTTTAAGTCATCTTTTTTGTGCATACATTTTCTCAGTGATGTCAGATACCATGGATTATTCAGGTTCATTAAGAATCTGAAGGCCCTTACTCATCACTGCACCTGGCACTATATGCTTGTGTCAGCTTCCCTGCATTGTCATGTTGACTAAATCACTGGCATTTCCTGGTTTATGAGCTATTTCTTAACTTTCTTCCTTCTTATGTATGTCATTTTGTTCATTTGAATAATGCTGGAAGCTACACTCCTCACCCTGTTTTTCATATCTGTCTCCAAAGTGCCTCTTTACATGAGAATACAGGAGAGATGGTAGGCTGCCCTATTTGGCTTAGGGCGCACTCACACTAGCAAAGTTGTCCCGTACTGTGCTTAAGCACGGTTGCCCCCCTCCCCATTACCCCGCTGGCCTGCTCTCACACTGCTCCAGGACTAACCGGGCCCGAGCACGGCTACCTCTTGCACATAAGGTCGTAATACAACACATGCATGGCTTTACTTATAATGAAGCGTGCTCAGTTTACAAGACAGGCTTACTCGAGGAAATAAATAAAGACACATGGTCGATTCTGCGTCCATACATCGGGGAACTTTAGCGGTGAAGCGTGCTTGGGCACGGCACAGATTGCCTAGTGTGAGTGCGCCCTTAGAATCTGCTACAGGAGGATTTGGATGTGGGGGACCTTGTTCCTTCAGACCTTTGAAAAAGGAGTTTGAAGGCGTTGGAGGAAGTTGCATCAGGTTATAGACACTTTGAAATGGCTAAATACAATAGCTAATCAACTTGAATCACATTTTTATGTTTGAAATGTCTTTATTGAGCATTTCAAAACCGTATTCGTCATACTTTCATTTTTATAAATATACTTTTATGTTGTTCTGTTTAAGCTCTTGTGCTTTACTTCCTATTTGAAAGAGAAATCCTGCTTTTATTTTAGAAGAAAACCGTAACAAAAGGAAGTGTTTGATGTGACACAGTGGACATTAAATGTGAATCGTTAACTGTAGTGACTTATCTATGGTACGCTGAAAGGGACATAAAACTGCAAACAAATTAATGCTATTAAACCAATATAAGCGTTCATTTTGATCTCACAATTGACCTGGTTTCATTTCCGTCATGCGTCACCCACCCTCAACTGCCAACAGGTGACCACAACACTGTGGCTTCTGGTCATACTGTGGAAATATTTCACAGAGAAGAGCACGCTCTCTGTTTTACTGTGGTCAGGTCTGGTTTCATGTTTCCAAGCAAGATTGCAACTCTAAAACTTTGAGAAACCAAAACTGACCACTGCACTTGCCATCTTCCTCTCAGTGTTTTTTAATAAACATAAATAAATAATTGAGTAAGTCAAATCACAATAAGGTATTCTATCTTCCAAAAGAATCATCATATCTGGACCGTTTGACAAAAGACATTTGATCAGACTCTGATTGTTAGAAGTATAAAGAACATCTTTTTCAGGGCCTTAATATCATATTATCTGTTTTCTCCTGCAGGTTGAGAACTTGAAGGCTGTCCATCCAGACTATGGAAACCGGGTTCAGAATCTTCTCAACAAGTTCAATGATGAGGCCCAGCAGGTAAATAGTACCTGTCTGATTGATTCTTGGCGAGTAGTTTTGATATGTTTATAAAACTTGAAGCAAACATTCAGGCAGGAATCTGAATGACTGAGGGGATTCCCTGGGCGCTGTTTCTTAAGTGTCATCATGACTTTGACATTTTGGACTTCCCAGAGGAAGACTAAAACTTTTGGAAGTGTCCTGACTATTGTTTTCAGCTATTCCAGCAGGTCCACATTTAAATTTCATGGTTTTCCTCAACAGCTGTTCTGTGGGGAGCAAATGTTTGCATATGAATGGATTTTTTTTATTTCATTTTATCAGAGCAGTTGATGAATTATTTACTGTCTGCATACAAAAAAAAAATTTCATAGAAAAAAAAAAAGTTTCTGACATGAATGATCTACCCTACTTAAAATATCAAGGCAACTATCGTAGGGCTGCTTGATTATGGCAAAAATCATAATCACGATAAATAAATGAAATAAAAAAATACATATATAAGTTTGTGATTCTGATTCAGTGTTAAGGCCAGCAGAGAAGGCCTTACTGTCACTGACTGCCAACCTCTGACAAGGACTGACATGGGGCGGCTGTGGCTCAGATGTAGAGTCGGCCGTCTCTCAACTGGAAGGTTGAGGGTTCGATCCCCAGCTCCTGCAGCAACATGTCTGATGTGTCCTTAGGCAGCTTCGTGTGCAGCGTATGAATGTGTGTGAATGGGATTAGGTACTTCTGATGGACACTTGACATAGCAGCCTCTGACATCAGTGTGTGAATGTGTGGGTGTGACATGCAGTGTAAAAGCACTTTGTGTAGTCAGAAGACTAGAAAAATGCGCTATACAAGTGGATTTACCATTTTCAGTCTTCAGTATTTGAGCTCATATTGTATACAGATGTTTATAGATCAAGGATAACATTCAGCCTGCTCACGAGGACAAGGATGTTAAACAGAAATGAAAGTTATTCCATGACAGACATTGGGCACATTAATTGTCGGAACATTTGGATATACTGTATATATTTTTTTGTGTGTCTGGTGGCACATTTCATAATGCAGATTTATTAATGTTGTCGTAACAGTTGTCTGCAGATAACGTTTTCTAAGATGTGCATCTGGTATACAGTTGTACCAACTCTCTCTCTCTCTCTCTTTCACTTCCACTCTCTTAGAACACACCCGTGCATGTCTACAGCCGTCCAGGAGTCTCGGCTGTCGCCGCATCCTCCAAGATGTGATGCCTTAAATTTCCAGAAGGGGCAGCACCCTCATGTATCGCAGAGCAAATGCACTTCTTGATTAACAACTGCTACTAAGAGTAACGAGATTGGACTAAACAATTAGCATAATGACGAGACTGAAACACCGACTTGTAATGTGAGGGTTGTGTTTTTTCGGTTTTTTTTCATTCAGTCCATCCAAACAGTTGATTTTCCTCAAAATCCTCAAAGCTTTCATATTCAGCAGATTCTTTATCTCTGTCATTTGTCTTGATTGAACACTAATTTAAAAACAGATGAAGTTGTTTAGTTGTTATTTTCTTTACAGACTGAAACAAAGACCACTATGGCAACTAATGTTAACTAGATCGAGTAATGCATGCCGAAATGGAGGGCTTGCCTTTGACCAAATATGGCCTCAATGCTAATGTTTGTTTGTTTGTTTTTAAATATAGGTGTGATTGGAGTTTCAAGTTCAACCTCAGCTTCTTCCATGTACCAGGATGAGTGATTATTTCTTAGGTTATGTTTGTATGTTGGATTGATTCAAATCTCTCCAAAAAAAAATCCAAATCAGCTATTCTGTTAGTCTTCTTTTAACATTCACATGTGATTCAATGTGTGACATATTCAGCATTAATCTCCAATCAGGTTGTAAAATACATTGATTTTTTTAATGTAGTGTTGGCACTACTTCTTTGCAAGAAGCAGTATTTTTGTTTTTCACTGCAGGCAATCATAAGCGTTGGCTTGTTTTCCTCACGATTGACTGAACCTCAAAAATCATTGCGTTCTTCATGAGAAGAACTTTCAAACTGAAATGATTTTTCAGTTTGATCTGGAGGTGTTTGTGGGCGCGTGCATGTCAGTAATGCAGTTTACAAAAAGGACACAATTACTTTCACTTCATCAAAAAGTCGATAGTGCCTTTTTGTACTAAATACAAATAAATAAATTAACCTGAAACTCAAAATCATTGATTAACTTCTCTTTAGTGGAAAAGAGAAACTTTGTTGATTTATATCGTGGTCTATCAGTTAACGTAGGGTTATGTGGCTAAGTAGCATTAAAAAAACAGAGACTACATCCTCATCCGAATCAAAAAACACGACCACTAATTCCCTCCTATTCTGGTTTTCTTTCAGACTGACTAGAAATGTAGTTTAGGGCTTTCATGTTTGTCCATTCTATGCAGAGAAAAAAGAGCCTCGACTAAATGCACAGTTTATTGTGTCACTGTGTAATATACACTGTATGACCTGTTGTGTTTTGCTAACTCTTCAAAGTGTAAAAAATATATTTTATATGAATGTTTAAGATCAGATTTGTATTTAGTGCCTGTATTAAATCGAAGCTTAACAGCAGCTTTCATGTCTCGTTCTTTTGTTTGAAGACATCTTTGTTTTCTTCAACGCTGTATGAGAAGAGAAACTAAAATGCCAGTTATCTCATCTAGCTCATCTATAGTAAGTTGCCATTTCAGTTTTTAAAGTTGCTTAGAGTTCTCTCAATGCCAACCAAAACACAGATTAATAAACCATAAGACCTTATTTAGTTCTGATATTTAAGGGATTACGGAGTTGACGTGTTATGGTTGAGACCTGATAGCATCATTTAATGAATTTCTAAAAAAATAGAAAGCTTAACGATACTTAAATGTCATCCCCCTTTACAACCCGTTGTATCAGTAGGTTTTGTAGTTTAAGATTTTGTATGATTTTGACACATTTTTAAATAGTTTAAAGTTTTCAATTTTTTGTCTTGGACAAGGTGTTTTCTGTCAAAGGGCAGGTTTAGAATTAAAAGAAAAAAATCAGAACCAAAATTAGGTATTTCCAAATTGGTTTCATATATAAAAATCTCTAAAAAATAGATTTTCATAATAAGTGTATTTTGTAAGTGATATTTTAATCTTGTTTTCCTGGGACAGGATTTTTTCAAGTTATTCAAAGTTTAAGAAGAAGCTAATCTTGCATACCCAT